AATTTTTAGTATACAATTTATTATGCATTTATTAGTTTACAATCTTTATGCGTTGTCATCCTGTCACGTTTTTGAATCAAGAATGAACAAAAGTGAATTTTTCTATATACAAACTTTCAGCAGCATATAACAAGCACTTATCAAATTACTATCTCTCTATCTCGTGGCCGCTGTCATAAGCAGGAAATTTCTCCAAAAATGTTCATAGTTTTTTACGATATGCTTGCTAAACTCATTCCTTTAACCTCAAACACAAAGCGCTCAAAATTTCCCATCTATATTATATAGGGAAAAACCTATTTTTTGCAGAAATAGTATAGAATCCTTTGGGGGTGTTTGGGGACCCGTAAGCAATAGTTCCAGTCTCGTGAAGAGAAAAAGAGTTTGCCGATTAAAAAATATACGTTTTCAAGGATTCTATAAAATTTATACGAAAAATTGATTTTGTTTCATATAAAATACTTACATGGGAAATTTGGAGCACTTTGGGCAACAACTAAATATTTTTTGAATAAAGAACAAACAAAAAAGGACGAAACCGAACTTTATATACCCGACGCAGATATAAAATCTCCCGTTATATGGGAAGTGGGCGTGGTTACGTCCGATTTCACCCATTGTCAATGCCAACCTACCTTGGATAAACTGCAACCTACATACCACATTTCGTTGCGATATCTCAGCAGACGGATGGACGGACAAACATGGCTTAATCGACTTCTCTTTTCATTCTGATCATTTATGTATACATATCTCGATTCGTTTTGGCTGGTACAAACAACCGTTATGAGAACAAAGTTAATATACACTTGTGCACAAGGGCGATCGGGTACAAAAGCAAGAGGGCATTAAAATTTCGACTTTACTTTTTCTGGGCCACCCTATTGCTCATCATAGCGTTCATCATACGCCCCGGTAATCAAAAATGTGAGAATCTGTGAGCAATCTATAATATAAAAATAAATTTTGAATAATCAACTTGAAGGTAAATATGTATTTTTAATTGTGTTCGTCTTGTCTTGTTGAAATAATTTTACTAATAAAAATTATGTTAAAAATTATTTTAAAAAATTATTACTCGATTTGTTGAGTATAAAAAAATATTTAGGATTCTATAGAACCAGCACTTATTTAGCATGCTCTGACCAGATGCGTAGAGATGCAGAATAATAAGTGAACACAATTTACGTTCCGAGGGTTTTAATATGATTAAGTGAGGTATGATGACCATATTCGTATTTATACATACTACATACATATGTATCTTATAAGAAAGACTAGTCTCATATTCAGTGACCTCACAAACTCATTTATATTGAATCTTATGAAAGTTCAACAAGTTGAAAAAAATAAATAAAAATATTTATCTTCGACATTGAAACTGCCTTTTTAAAGTTATATGTATAGTGCTCATGCAGAATCATAAACTATTTAGATGGACTTAACGGGATTTTGAAAAATTAGTCCAACATAATGAAGGCGCATTTTTGACTTTTAAGAACTTACAACGAGAATCGTAATCAGCAACCTTAAAATCATTTATATCCTAGTAGGTGCGATTGTACTTTTTTTAGCCCCTTTTCGGTACAAGCGCGCTTTTTCATGGCAGATATGCACTACAAACCTTCGCCATTGCCCACGAAAATACGCTCCTCAAACCAATGGGCCACGACCTAACAACAACCAAATTCCAATGGTCCCTAGGTAAACACGTACTGTAATGTGAAATTCATGGTTAGAGGCATCAACTTTGCATGTTTCCATATACATGGGGCAAAATTCGCCAAATGTACCCGGGAAAAATTTTATGGCAACATTTTATTCAATATCCACCACATTGTTGCTATGGTTACTGGTAACCAATGTGAGAAAGAATTCTTTTCTATTGCGGTTTTTAGTCGAGTTATACGAGTTTAAACATGCAAATTTCAGCCCTTTCTCTGAGAGTCACAAGTTTTCTTAAAATTCTTATCTCATGTCATACCTATGATAGAGAATCAAAAATTGCTGACCTATTAGAACTTTTTCCGTGCTTTTTGGCGGAAATTATAATTTGCAATAAAAAAAATAATAAAATTTTATTGCATTTTTTAAACATTGTGCCAGTTTTGTTTCTTTCGCAGAGCTTATTTTCTAAGCTTTCAAACGATATATAATTTGTATTGGGCGTGGGAAAAAGACTACAAGTTGTTCAATATACAACGCACTCGGACCGCATTTTTGTGGACAATAACAAAAGTTTACAGAAATTAAAAAAATGGCCGACCAGCGACATTTTTGTATGAATTCGAATGTAAAATTTCCCGCTGATTCCGAATACGAAACTAAAATGTAAAAGAGTAGAACAGTTTTTGAGATATAGCCGTATATCTGAAAAAGGTGCACTGACTTAATTACAATTTTCTGTCGATGTAGGTGGCTTACCGCGACATTTTTGTACAAATTTCTATGAAGAATTTTCTGCTGAATCCGAGTAGGAAATAAAACTGTAAGAGAAGAGAACAATTTTTTGAGATATAGTCAAATTTCGTGGATTTGAACTGAAAAAAGTGCACTCACTTATTAAATGCAATTTTCTTTAGATATAGTTGGCCAATCTTAAATTTCTTTTTGTAAAGTAAAGACTTTCTATCATCTCCGTCAACAATATTATCTAACTGGGTAAGCAATTTATATATATAAATATATAAATTGATGGAAAATTGAGAAATTTTTTTACATATTAATTTTGCCATTGGGGCATGGTTTATATTTATGGCCCACAATTAAAGTAGCTAAGTGGCTTTAGAAGATTTGACTTTGAAATATAACATAATAAGTTTCGCTTGAAAAATTTTTTATTTTTATTAAGGTTCTATTAAAGGGCATCTTAAACTACACCTATGGTTAGTTCATCGTCAAAATATTGTTTGGGAACCCAATGAAATATTACTTTAAAGGAAAATGGTCTACCTCGAATTAAGCTACTTTAAGCTATTAAAATTATGTTTTGTTTCTATAAAAAAAAAGTGGATATCGTTACCTTAATATAGAAAAGCCCCATCTAACATTTCGGTTTCTCTATGGGGGAATGAAAAAACTCTGTAGAAAATAAGGTCCTTTTGCTGCGAATTTCTTTCAAAGGCTGTTTTTGTTGAAGAATGTAACTACCCTGCAGAAAAAAATCAATTGATTAAAATAACCAACTTATAGTTGTAACTAACTTCTAAACCGATATGACAAAACTAACTTTAAATTAGTTGTTAAGTCTTGCAGCAGTCATGCAGACGTTATCGGGAGTTTGTTTTCTTTATAAGCTTCCATTAAAATCTCCTCCTACAAAAAATACTTTCAATATACCTTTTTTCTACAATACTTCGCAGATTTTTTTTCGATTTCAGGACAAATAAAACAAGGATCGACATTTTACATGATTATTTTGATGTTATGTCCTATGGAATTCAAATATGGGACCACCTACAAAAGAACATGTAACCAAATAAGAAAATATGTAATGTTAAATTAAATAAATTAAAAAAATATAAAAAAAATCTTTTTTTATTGATAGTTTATGTCCAAAAGTAGTTAGCTACAAGTTAGTTGGCATCTAATGCAGAGGAAACCAGTGATCACTATTTTGCGGCCATCGCCCTTCAAAATTAGTTAATTACGACCAAAGGAAATAGTTAAAAATAGTAACCACTAGTCGACCGATAGTTAGTTAATAGTTAGCTACAAACTAGCCCCATTTCCTGCGCGGTAATTTTATGCTGTATTAGTTATTTTTAAAGTCCAATAAGTTTTTAGTGAATAATCGGCAGACCTGCCAACAGTACTGAATTTGAAAAGAAAATTAGTTAGGGTCTTTCTATATTAAGGTAACGATATGTATGTTCATATTTAATACAAAATATATTTAATAACAAGAAGTTTTGCACTCGAATTATTCTCAAGTGGGCAATAAAAATTCTCCGCCGTTAAGTCTTCGACGCTCAAGTGCATTCTTTTACATTTAATATACATACAAAAAAAAAAATAAGTAAATAGTTAGTAGAAAGAAAACTTATATACATCCATACATGTATTCCATCGTTTTTTTTTTTTTTTGTTTTCAATTGACCATTTCATTGGCTTGGTAGTTTTGGCTGTCACGCAACATGCAATAGCAGACAACGTAACAGCAACGGCTACTTATTGCATATACGTGCACAATGCATCAGTTGCATGCAACAACAGCAAAATTAAATATGTAATGAATTTGAATGCTAGACATTGGCGCGCCGATAGTCAAACAGACTCCGATCGCGTCTGAATCGGGGCTATCAAGAGCAAGGTTGTGTATTAAAAGGCAGCTAATTTTAGTAGAGATCGGCGGCGAATTGGCAGAAGAATACCAACATAAATACATACATACATATGTTTGTATGTACATATGTATGTATATACACGTGAGCAAACTTGTACATCTATACATTTGTGTTTTTTTTTTATACATTGTTCGTATGTAACGCCAAGCTTGTGAGCTTGCTTGCACCTAGCTCGCTTTGGTAATAACAGCTGTTCGTTCATTCAGTTGTTTGCTGCTTGGGTGACTGGCTGACGTTGTTGGTGTGTCGTCGTGTCGCGGAAGTGGCACTCAGTTGCAATCGGCATCGTCGCGCGTTGAATATATGTATGTATGTAGACATATGTATACGTATACCAAAACGCTTATAAAATACGAACGGCCGGCGATTAATGTATAATTTTTTTTTTTCTTGAAAATATTTGGCAATTTTCATTTTACCTTTGGTTAATTAAAGACAGTTTTCCGTTGAAATATGAAAGCTGAAAAATTGCTGAATGTTTTGTATAATAGGTAAAATATGCTGTGCAGATGATTTTTTGTGGATTAGTTTGTTTTTGATTTTTTTATATGTATTACTGACTATGTTGCAAAATTTCATTTCCGCCAGTAAAGCTGAGCAAACATTTGCAAAATATTTTTAAATTAAAATATTTTTTTATTTACCTTTTTACAGTGCATTTTCTGCTCTTGGGACTGCAACACACAGAGGCTTCACACTGGAGCTATCCCGACCGAGATTTAGATGAAGGTAAATTTTGTATGAATAACGTAAATTAGCATAAGTAGCTAAATCACTTGAGTGGCAACTAAAATTAGAGCATTTTTTCAATTTAACTAAAGTGGAGCATATATTATACACTATTTTTAACAACAGCCAATTTGAAGTGTATAGACGTGCGTAGCAAGTTTTTTAGTGTCACATTGAACAGAAATTTGTACATGAATCTTTTTAAAGTCAAATTTTATTATACGTACACCCCCAGCTGTTCTCATACATATATATGTACTTATGTTTGTACGTAATAGATGTAATTGTCCACACACCCTGTAGGAAAATATTTGACTTAATTGCATAGTTTAGCGATGCACCTATTGCTCTCCCTATACAAGTTGTGAGACATAATATTCATCGGAAGTGAAACGGGAAATTGTGCATTTACTGTTGATATTAAAATTATGTATTTTATATTTAATTCAAACGATTTACACGGGTTTTGTTAAAGAAAACAATAACCAAAATTAAATAATAACAAAAATAATATTTTAAAACTTGTCAAAATTTGGTGCGGCTATAATTTTTTCGACTACTTTACATAAGTTGACTATGATTACTCGGCCGTGCTATCATAGTAGCACAATGCACTTTGACTTTTAAGCAAAATACGAGCAGGAATTTCAAAATTTCAACCCTGTTTGTGTGAAATATTTCATTTTTATCAGTATTTTTTCTTTTATTCAATCTTGTTTAAATAAAAGTGAAAAAAAAAATTGTCAGAATCCAACCCTCTCCCCCCCCCCCCCCCCCCCCCCCCCCAAAAAAAAAAAACTTGGCTACGGCCCTGGGCCCAACCCTAATGTGCCATACATATTTATTTATGTACTAAATTTCCCTACTGGGGTATTACCATGTCTTTCACTGCCATAGCGCAGGCTATACATTGTAGTCTGTTATTCACGTAATTTACTAGCATTCTGATGTTGGCGCGTAAATTGCAAAATTGCTCCACTTCTCATTATAATCGTACGACTAAGCCAGCGACAGTGAAATGTTCATTCTATTTGTAAACCTACATATTTACTTACTATGTTGTTATATGCGTTTGGAGTGGCTATTGTCAGCCGAATAATTGCTAAATTAGCCGATAGATATATGACTACATACAAAGAGAGAGAGACATTGTACTTACCGAAATATATATACATACATATGTATGTACATAGATATGTCTGCATTGTATGTTTTGCATGCATATGTAGCCGTCCCAGTATCTACTCATTTATGGACACACATATCTACCAAGTACCATATTTTTCATTTATTTGCTTAATTTGTGCAATTTGAGAAAGTGTTTTTTTTTCAATGTTGCTATATGGAGATCATTGACACCCGTTGGAGATGGTCAGTACGGGCACTTGCATAAAGCGCATGACTTGCTGCTAAATAATCAAATATGCAAATCAGAATGGATATATGCTTACATTTGGGTAATGTGTGTTATTTTATTTTTATTTTTTTATTCATATATAATCATTCACGAATATGCTTTTTGCTCTATTCTATATGCGCTGTGGAGTAGTACTTAAAAGTAGCTTTTGAGATACACATATGTCATACACATATGTCATAGAAGTGGGCGGTGCCACCCCCATTTTCCTAAAAAAAAAATTTAAAAGCCAATTTTTTGCGAAAGAGCGATGGTATATATCAGTTTTAAATAAATATTGATGCATTGCTTAGCCACACTGCTCAAAATATCTGAACGTGCGGTACAATATAAATTCAAGGCCGTATTTAAGCAAAGTCGCCTTACTTCGACAATTTTTAGGCGATTGCAATAAATGAGCTATCAGTTTATTTGTAAATAGATTTAATTTTCGATAGTACTGCATATTTTGAAATAGTGAAAGTATGTGATGTCAAAACTTAAAAAATAAAGAAAATATTTTTTTATTTTTTATTTGCCCGATGAAAACTCCCAACAATCCAAGCCTGACAATAGATTATCATACATAATTTTAAAGACCTATAAATCCTCTTCTCACAACATGTTCGATCTTCAAAATCTAATGAAAAATAGCCATTAAAAAACTACTGAATCTACAAAACCGTACCTTCGACCTAAAATGTCTAGTCGAGACTCCTAAATGTTTTTTGAAAAATCTTCAAAAGTCGGCAATAATATTTCTCATAAAAAGGAAGGAAATTACGGGGCACCCTAATATATATACACCTATATATAATACAAAGTTTTCAGTTAAGCTGTACCAAAAACTCCTCAAATCCCCTCTCCTTCCCGCTCCGTTAACTTTGGAAAATGTGTTTTTAAATTATACGTTCTCATTGGGAGCTTATTTCGTAAACTTCAAATTGAGATAAAAAAGAAATGGTAACCAACTTTTTCAAATCCTTTGGTGCTTTTTCATTATTCGACCAGCTTAATCAAATGATGTTGGTCCGATTCTTATCACATCCAATTTTTTGTAATAATTTTTGGTGCACATCGCCATTATCGCGAATTTTAAGCCACTTCCAATTTGTATCTTATGATAATTACCGGAAATTTTTCTACAAGTTTTTATTAAAAAGTTTGAAATTTTATGAAACTACTGAATTTTTCCTAATTTGCGTACAAAATTTGAAATTGGTCTTTATTATATAATAAGCTATAAAATAAATTAAATTGAATTTTATAAAAATAAATTAACATTATAACATGAAAGAAAAAACTCAAACATGTCGCACTCTTTAGATTTTTTTGACCATTGTATGTATTATAAAAAGAATTAGCTTCCAACTAAAAGTGCTCTACATAGTTGCATCATTTTCATTTGATCTTTATAATGTTAATTTCAACCTTTTATAATTTTTTGAATAGTTTTTCCGACCTGGGGTGGCATCTGTGATACTGGAACCCGACAGAGTCCAATTGATTTGAGCGTATCAAAATCATTAAAAGGACTGTATGATGATCTGGAATTTGACAACTTCAATGACAAGCAAACCGGCGTAAGCATCGTCAATAATGGACATTCCAGTAAGTAAACTCTTAAAAATACAATATGACTTTATTTTGAAATATTTTCCATCTTCCTGACTGTAATTATGTACATATGTATGTATGTATTTTTGTTTGCACCAACTAAATATCTTTATTCCAACATTGTGTCAATAGTTCAACTTGCTAACTTCTCCACGGAAATGGAACTGGAAGGTGGTCCGCTTCTAGATAAATATGTCGTCGAGCAAATCCACTTGCACTGGTGGTCGGAGCATACCATCAATAATGTGCGCTACCCACTTGAGGCTCACATAGTGGCTCGAAACAAACGTTACGCCAATGTGACACAGGCATCAAATTTCAAAAACGGCCTAACCGTCCTAGCTGTACTGTATCATGCATCGAATAAGCGCAACGAAGCCATCGATCAAATCATCGATTACTTGGACGATGTAAAAAGTTTTGATAAAGTCGATCAGCCAGTGCGTATGACAAAGCCATTCGTAGTGCGTCAACTTTTCCCCGAACTCAATGGTTATATGACCTATGCTGGTTCATTGACCACGCCCTCGTGCGCGGAGGCGGTGACCTGGATTGTGTTGAGCGAAACATTCCCAGTGACTTTGGAGCAGGTGAGTTGAGAGCAAATTTTCTTAAGGTATCATCTTGAATATGAATTCGCTTTGAAATGATTTGTAAACCTTTTCACAGGTCGACAACTTCAAGCAGATTCAATGTGAAGAGAAGCAAGTACTCAAAAACAATTATCGAGATATCCAAAAAAGCAACAGTCGTGCAGTGGTGTTGGTACTGTCTGCGGATGACAATCGATCGAATGCTGCAAATTCATTGCACATTTCATTGAGTGTAGTATTCTTGGTTTTAAGTGCCGCTAAATTCGTGTAAATGTGAGAACTAGTAATGTAATTTATGTACGTACATATAACAATAATATTTATCGCAAATATGACACGGCTATTATTTGCCATAACTGCAACATAGTGACAATGAACCAAATATTTTATTTTTATATTTTTTGCCAACTCATTGATATTTGAGTCTGAGTGAAAAAAAAATTAAATGTGGCATCAATAATTAACTTTACTATTAAATATTTATGTATTTTAAATCTTAGAGTAGTAGCATCTCGTTGTTATGTGTATTTATGTTATTTAGATGTGTAATATCTTCTATCTTTGTACTAGTCAAAAAATTTACATAAAATAATATGTAAAACCGTATATTTATATGTATTTTGATTAATAAACAAATGATAAAACATATATATATAAGCGTCTATGCAAAAGAGAACATCATTACTATTTATCAGGGACCGAGAACAAAAGGTTTGATCGCAACTAAATGTCATTCGCGTAGTTTTGCTCCCAAGAACGCCTTAAAAGCCAAACTGAAATGCGAAAAAAAACCTTCGGGAGTTTTCACAAGAACGAAAGTGAGAGCAAAACTGTCTAGAACGTTCTCAAGTATATATATATATATAATTATATGTACATATAATAACAAAATAATGTGGAACGTTCCCAAAGAGAAAAAAACCGAACAATACATTCGGGAATATTTCTATGAAAACAAAATGGGAACTAATCTTCTATGAACTATTCGCGAATAATGGAAGCGAAAACAAAATTTGTCTTATACATTTCCAATAATTTGAAATATTTTAATACTAAAATTAATCAAAAAAAAAGCATTGTAAAAAGAACTGACAGATAATTATGCAAATTAAGCAAGTTAACGAAAGACTTAAGACGCGAACTTTTCTTGCACAGAAAATGAAAAATTGTTCCTTAAATGGACAGTTCACCTTAATGATAAGCCATGTGGAAGTTGAAATAATCCAGCCTTCCTCTGACTAGGAAATGACAATCATGGTTCTCACAGAATCGATTTTTCATCCCAACACGCAGACGCTCCTTACATTCTTAACGTAAAGTTCTTAAAACTTTTGTTCTCGTTTTGTTTTTTGTCTTATTTGTGGGGACACGAATTTCGATACGATACGATACCATATCGATACTTTTGGCATTCGATACCGATATTTTCTACCCGATAGTTTTAAAACGATATTTTTTGGAATCGAATACCAGAACTCTAGTATCGTATCGAATGTCATAAACTCACATTCCAACACTGAGGGGAAAAAATTTTAAAATAAAAAAACGTGCTAAATTGAAAAAATACGCATATGAAAGAGCTCCAAACCCAACTCGTTTTAAATTTGAGTATATACGTTACAAAATATGTGGTTGTGAAGTGCACAGATCCTTTTTCGTAATTAAGAAGACAAAAAAAATTAGTTTTATGTTTCGTCTGATTATAATTGAACCCGGACCCTCTTGGCCGCAACCAATTGTATCAAGCGTCTTTGCATACTCAGCTACAGCCATACATGCAAAGGTGTTTTGAAATGTTGAGTTTGAATCAACATCACAGCGCCCTACAAGACATTGCTGAGCACTTTAGGCAAAAATTCTCACACATTTACACTTTTGTTTTTGTAGTACGGCATAAATGAGTAGTTTGACTATTAGTACTGAGGACTTTCTGATGACAACATTGAGCGGAAAGTACTCAATTTTTTCCCATGGCCTGAACGAAAATGAGGACTTTGATAAGCACTTTTGTGATTAGGGATAATGATAATATGAGTACTCATATGATACTCAGCTGTCTTGCGCGACCATGTATGTGTGTATGTGTGTATGTGTTGTCACCGCTGTGCATGCTTTGTATACATATACAAAGTTTGTTAATTTCATATGAAAAAGCATTCGAGACGTGCAAAACGCCATCCGTGTAGTGAAAAATGCTTCATTTTAATACGGGCGTATTTGAATTGAATATTTCAATTATATGTACGTAGTGTATGTATAATGGAAAAATCCATTTTGTTAAGACTTCTCACTTGATTTAAATACGAACATTTTTAAACGGTAATCAAATAAAAAAATTTTATTCTTACAACGAGTTTTTTTTCTCAGTGAAGGATAATGTTATTAACAGCTCAACCTAATATTACCGGCGAGAGTTTTTCTACGCACGCACGCAAGTTTTTTTCATTTGATAAACCCAAATCAAAATAAAAATTTGAATTCATAGTCGCGCCAAAAAGCCAATTGAGCATAAACGTCAAATCGAAATGTCACGCAAGACAAATCTTGGAATTTGAGTTAGCTCTTTACGCACGCATATAAGGTTGGCCTGTAACAATTCTTCACGATATAAATTGGGCTTTCAAGTGCAGAAATAGTGCAGAAATTTGTACTATGGTTAGGATTGCATGTGGTGGGATTTGAACCCGCGGCCTCGGTGTTCAACACCTCAACCTCTACGTGTTGTAATAATAATAAAGTCCGGCGCTTACACAATATGTTAGTGCTTGGCCGAACTTCTCCTCCGATTTGTCGCGTGGGCCTTAATGTTGTGGCACAAAGGGGGTACCTACAGTTTTATGTCGACTCTGACCGGCGATTGCATTTTATGGGAAGCTGGTTTTCATTTTCAAGGTTTTCGCACTTCTAACCACTACACCCCAGCGGCCTATATGCGAGACCTATATTCAGATTAATTTTTTGGGTTTTGGTATCGATATTTTGAATATCGAGTCTTTTTATTCCGATATTAATGGGTACCCGATATTTTTAAAGCGATACTTTAAAGGAGTACCATATCGATACTTTCGGTCCGATATCGTGTCCCTACTTATTTGATTTTCCCTGAAAACGTGCTCAGTACTTTCGTTCTCATTTTGTTCGCATTGGAAACATCCCCGAAAGTTGCGTTCTCATTCTGTTGCCGAGTTTTGTTCGCATTTTATTTTTTACGTAAAAGTTCCAATGCTTTTGTTACCATTCGGTTCTTTTGTGGGAACATCCTTGACATTACAATTTTTTCTCTTCCAGAACTAAACAGGTTTTTTATCCATCCTTCAAAGGCGGGTTAAGAATGCCAATTTGTCACTGTTAATTTCATACGGGGGCAGGTGTTATCAGTTCAATGGGGTATAGTTCGTTTGGCTGGGCATGCAATTACAGTTGTACGGCTATAGTCAATAGTGATGTGCTGAGTAAAATACTCTCGATACTCGGTACCGAAACATTTAGGTTTCGAATAAAAGCGCACATAGGGCAAAAATATGGAAAAAGCGGTTCGGGGGAGACACGCCTATAAAAACCCGAATGTAGGAGCCAATAGAGCTTTTCATACGGATTCAAATGAAAGAGGTATATATGTCGGTTCGAGGCCATAATGCAGAGAAACTCTTACTTGTTTGAAGCATTTTTGTTCCAGCTGAATCGGACGATATCATTTTTATAGGCCTGGGGGCAGATTCTGTAACCAGTTAGCGATAATTTTCGAATCGGCTACGGTTTTGTTGACTTATGATATGAAATATTTTTACGTCAACAAGTGCGATATCGATCCCAAACTTGTCGCTAACTGGTTACAGAATCTCCCCCCTGAGAGGCTTCTTCACCCGTAAAAGCATTTTTCTTAAACCTTGGATCAACTAAGATTAAAACTGATCAAATAATATTTCTTTGTTGCGATAAGTTCAAGTGTTTTAGCCGATATCATATAAATTAGTAATTAAAGTTTTTTCTAAACTTTAAATGCATATAATGGCGAAGGTTTAATGTAAAGAATCGGTATCGGGTACCGAAATGGAAGTATTGGGTACTGAAATCTTTTTTAAGTATTGGGTACCGAGTATTGGGTACCGAAAATTCAGCACATCACTAATAGTCAATCCCAACTCTTGCGTCCTCGTTCGCTCACTCTGGGCAACGTGAGCAACCCATGTACGAGATGCGGTGACTAACCTATTTGATGGTAACCGTTTGTCGCGGCAGAAATATAAGGAGCTTCGGTGGGCCACTCCGACTTATTAGATTTAAACTCTTACCGGTCTGAACCGTCTGTTCACAATTAGGTACGGCTGCAAGCGCGCGATTGGTTTGGAGCAAGCGGCTCGCTATATAAACGGTTAAGAAATCATACGCTCACAGTAATAGGTTGTGCGCTGGGTTTGGGATCCGCCACGTAAAAACCACTTTCCCTAAAGAAACAACACAAAGCCTCCGACGAGACTCCTCTTCTTAAAGGACTATGATTTAAGGGCATGCATCTGGAATGTCCACTCGTAATGGGGAAGGTGCCTCAACCAAGTTGGTCAATGTCCTCGCAAGAACAAAAGCTGACATCACCGCCAACCAAGAAATGCGTTGGAAGGGGCAAGGCAAGAAATGCCTGGGACCTTGCGACTTCTACTACATCTGCCATGTAAAGAAACGGAAATTCGGTAATGGATTTGTGGTGGCAGAGAGAACGTGTCGCCATAATCCGCATCAAAGCAAGATTCTCCAACATCTCGCTGATTTGCGCCAACGACCCGACGCAAGAGAATATCGAAGTGTCTAAGTATAGCTTCTATGAGCACTTGGTGCGCACATACGTGCGCTGCCTCCGCCATGATATCAAAATCGTCCCTGGCGATTTCAATGCCAGGATGGGCAATTAGGATTAGGATTAGGGATCTTTGGAACCACCGTCGGAAAATTCGGCCTTCACGACGAAACGTGCGACAACGGGCTGAGGCTGTTCGACTTCGCCGGGGCCCGAAACATGGTAGTATGCTGTGCGAGAAACCAAATCGATCATGTTGTATAGACGGCAAGAACGCTTCCAGCAGCAGAATAAAGCACTACCCACAATTGCAGCGGACGACGGTAAAGCGGTCGACGGTTAACCGCTGTCAAAATTAAAACTCACAAAGACATATGGAATGGCTAAGTTTTCCAATGTTTTCATCCATTTTTATTGCCAGCAAATCTACAAACACGCGCGTACCAGAAAAATATTCTGTCATATCCTGAGTTTCGCCCGAAAAAAATTCACCCGAAAATTTGTCATCCGCCCATAGTAAAACCATGGAAACCAAGAGTGAAAAGCGAACCGGTTCGGGGAAAATGAAACTCATGATAAGGCTGACTTAAAATTGATGATAATTTTCAAATCAAAATGAAAACTGACGGAAGCCGTCGTGCGCCGCAATTGTGTTTACTCTGACGGATTTCACTGTAGCAACGGTTCAGCTGTTCACTTAGCGCCGACCAAGGCACATTAAACAGGTAGTATCAGTAGAGCAAAAACAACATTTGCGTGTATTTTGTTGTTGCTTCTGGTATCGAAAGTGTCAAAAACTGTTCTGAATTTTTTCTTCTAAATCAAAGCGTGCCATGTGAAATACAAAAAATTATAAAAAATAAAAAATTGAAATTGGAAAAAATAAAAATTGATGCAACTTTCTTTCCTAGTTGTTGTTGTTGTTGTAGCGGCTACAACAATCCCGCCCAGATCGGTTGGTATCTCAGTCGTTGTCGTCAAGTTCCACTAACGGCAACCCTAGGAAGCGTGCAGCTTCTGTGGGATCTGTCCACAGGGACAAGGCCGTTAGGGTTGTCGGGTTTTCCGGGCATGCGAAGAGATGGTTCGAGTCATGTGGGGTCTCTCCGCATGCCGGACATTCGTTCGGCACATCCTCATTCAGCCTACTCAAGTAGGAGTTTACCCTGCTGCAGTAGCCGGAGCTAAGTTGAGCGAGTGTAGTGCGTGTCTCCCGAGGCAGATGAAGCTCTGTCTCGTCAATGTCCGGGGATGGTATGCCTAGAACGGCATTCACAGGTCTAGAGTCTACATAACTCGAGACTGAGTCCCTGTGAATGCCGTTCAGGGCCTGTCTGTACGCTGTCGGGTCCAGAGGTTGCTTAATGAACCTCTGGACTTCGTCCGTCAGTTCATATAGATGCCTCCTGACGTGCCTAGGCGAGGGCTCCTCTGCAAGCAGCTGTCTGTTTGGGTGGCCACTTCTGTGGCTCCCGATCAGGAACTGCTTGCAGAGCATTATGTTGTGCTCCTTAACTGGGAGCATTTGCGCCTCGCCGTGCAAGTGGTGTTCTGGCGACATCAGGAGGCATCCCGTCGCTGTCCTAAGTGCCGTATTTTGTACCGTCTGTAGCTTCGTCCACTGCGTCCTACTAGTCCCTGGCGACCACACTGGCGCTGCGTAGTTCAAAACCGGCCGGCCTATTGCCTTGTATGTTGCCAGCAACGTTTCTTTGTCTTTGCCCCAAGTACTGCCGGCTAGCGACTTGAGGACCTTGTTGCGGCTCTGTACTTTATTGACAATAGCGGTTGAGTGCGCAGAGAAGGAGAGCAGGCTGTCGAATGTTACTCCGAGTATTTTGGGGTTATTCACCGTCGGAATTGGTGTGTCATCGACGTGAATCCCCAGCGGTAGCCTGACCTCCTTCGTCCAGGTTGTGAACAGTAAATTTGTTTGCTTCTCGAAGCATTGATCCATCCTTTGCAAGGCCCAGTAATCAGCGGTTGTGCTGCTGAGTTGGGCGAACGTTCCAAAAGCTGCTATTCAATCGCTTGTTTTGTATGGAAAAAGGTTTCACATGCAAATGGATTTTAACAATTCAGAATTTTTGTGAGAAAAAAATAACAAATATTTGACATTTTCGAGACCAAATAATTTGAAAATAAATCAAATCAGTTGCTCTACTGATACTACCTGTTCAATGTACCTTGGCGCCGACCGATTTTCCGTCGCACAGTGGGGCAAAAAAGGTTGTTGTCGACAAATGAATTTTGAGAGCCCAAATATGAACCGATTTCAAATTTCCCTTTTTAAATAAAAGATAATTAAATTTCGCGTTGATCTATCCGTGGCGATTTTTTAATAGTGATACTGAGCTGGATAATCTAACAAAACATAACTAATGATGTCTCCAAAAATGTAAATTTTGAGTTACATCTCTATATTATTAAACGTGCGATATAATACATACATAATACATACATATTACGAATACATGGAATATTTAGTTGCGAATAGATATGTCTTACTATGCCATACGCGACTTACTTTGCATCATATTTATTACTTTGAGCCTTATTTTAAGTGATAGTATACTTATTAAGAAAAAATCATCACATTTTCTTGCTGTCCTCTTTCACTTATTACTATCAACAAGAATTTTCGGATTGGCTACACGGAATACATTCGGTACCATACCTGCCAATGTATTAAATAGTTCTTCAGAGATATCATGTGGTAGGAGTAACTGTAGAGTGCTATAAAAAGGTGCCAATATTTACTATATCAGTTATAAAGTTAAAATTTGTGGTTTTAATCAGATTTATTATTACCTTAATTCCGCACCACCCCACGACGCCGACTCAATCATAAATCCCTTAGCACACTTAAATACCAACTCTGCACGTCGCATACACCATTGCACCGTCATGTCCTCAGACATTTCATGGCGTAGCAATGCTGGTATTGTAAGTGTAGTAACATCATGTCGGCTGGCTGTCTTTAAAATGTTACGCAATCCTAGTATTACCGGATGGCGAGAGTTTATCTCACTTGGACTATTAATGGGCTCATCCGAAATTAAATGAAAAATAACATGAGATTGTGAAAGATTCGAGTGTTTAGTAATAAAAAAGTCGCCAGTCTTTAGTTTGGTAGAGGCAATTTTAGTAGGGGAGCTGCCAGCGCTACCAGCACCACTGTTGCCACCACCGTTATTAGGTGATAAATTATCACTTCCATTGCCTGCACTACTACTGCTGTGCATGCTGGGCGTTTTGGAATCGGTAACGTTAAGTGTATGTATGTGTTTTTCTATCTTCTCTAGTTGATCATCTATCTGTAAAGATTTACAACAAGATTACTTAAATGAGATTTGCCTTAGCGCTTAATAATACCTGGTCGAAGTGAAATTCGGTTGACATGTTGGCATTTTTTATTATATTTTTATTAGGTCGAGCTTGAATAGACGGAGTAAGAACGACTACACCACACAGAGAACTTGAATATAGACCCAATGCCATATTTAATCCATTTAAACTGGAATTTTTAGTTTTAATATACACCTGCAACTAATCTTATTGCTAGAATTTTCTGTACCTCTCATCCACGTGCAGTGGACTGCAAAGATCCGTGACATCCGCACTGAGTATTCGTATATTGTGCATATGTTTAAGCTGTGAACCCAAGTGTATTGTAAAACTTTCCTCCATCGATGGTTGTTGTGATATAAACATAGATGAACGATTTCCGAGGGGTGTAGCAATCGGAGAGGTTTCAAATATTTTACCTACTTGACTGGTAATCCAATCACGGTATTCGTTGCGTTGATGTCCACGCTTGGCCTGCAACTCCGATTCGGAACGTTGTCGTATATAATTTTGAGTACTATATTGTTGTGCTAAGAGGTTATTGATATCCTAAAACCATAAACTATTATACATATACATACGATAGGATTTATTTTACTGTTTACTTCCGAAGTAGTTGTGATATCCAATTGCTTAATTTTCGAGTCCATTTCTTGTTGCTGCCTAGAATTTAAAGTCTCTACTTCCCTATCCATTTGCTTATTTATATCTGAAATAACTTTTGCGTATGTTCTTTCGCGTTTTAATATATCCTCTAATGAAGATGAATGTACCAATCTATGTATGATTTTGAAAGTCTATTATAGGACGAAGTATTTGAAACTCTATGCATATTAATAATCCTACCGATGGAAACTCTGCGCAAATATGTCCTCATCACTGGGCCCAATGCGATCGGCAAATTGTATTATCTCCTCTTTATAGCTGCGCTCAGTTTTTCGAATGACAGCTTCTAGATCGAGTTCATCATTGCGAACCTGTTCCAGTAGTCCCTCCGCAAATTGATCCAGAAAGTTTTGGTTTTCTTCTTGTATGAACTCACGTAAATCCGATTTAAGTGCTAAGTAAAATTACGAAATAAAAACCATGGCTTGTAAATTGTGTAACGAAATAAATAAATACATATATGTATATGTATACATAAGCAATATTTTAATTCATACATATATTCCGATCCAAATACCGCTGCATAGGATCCATGCTATTTAGTAATCTAGTAACTAACTCATCAAGGCATTCCTCATCAGATTCGAAAGGAAACCCAATATCAATGCTTTCTTCACAGGCCTTGCCTTCATGATTTTGATATTTATATACAAATTTCTTTATATTCCTATCCATTGTAACTTTGGGCGGCACAAAATACTCATAACTCTTGCAAATGCAGCAAATTTTCAACAGAAAACAAAATACGTATTTAATTTGCCACCCCCAATTAGGAATGCAGACGACGCAGCAAATTTTCAAAACATCAATGCTTCGTCCAAAAATATCGATGTTTACATTGATGTTTTGCTGGACAATACATCGTCGGTACATGAACTAGAAAAGTGAAAAACATCGCCATCGTTCACTCACTCCGTTCGTATTCAGCGTTGCCGCTTTGACTTTTTTATCAAAACTGGTAATTTTTTTCTTTTTAGAACGAGTTTGGTAATTTGGTAATTTTTTTCAACGTAAGTCTTTTTTTTAAGTTTTTAATACTAACTTATTATTTATAAAAATTTCCTAAACGGAACCAATCGAGATTTCAGCGAAAGTATTGGAATTTTATCATGAAACTTGGTCAAGATGTTGGGGGAGGCTTTCTCTACATGAATATGTCACTCTCACAAAGTAGTTGCTAATAGTATTTAACCAATTTGTTGTTAAATAATCTTCACTACCACCCCCAAATTTTTGTACAAAATGCCACTTATCAATTGTATTTTGGTTGATATACAATATCTTCAATGTTCACGTGCGTATTTTATACTTTTAATATATATATATTCATCAATTAATTAAGTAAAACGCGTTTATAAATCCGTTCCCTCGTTTTACCACTTTTCACAAACAAACAGAAATAACAATGGCCGACAGTAATACCGTGTTCTGACCGACATCGAAAACATGTTTTCGTTGCTAAAACTGGTTTTGACTTAAAACTTGTGTTTTCGTCCATGTAAAATCTGTCAAAGGAAAACCAGTTTTCGCTGAAAACTACTTGAAAACTCACATTCCACTCATTCCAATCGGTGTCTTCACTAGTTTTTTTCGATTATTTATCGAAGTGGAAGTCGTATTTTCTCATCTTTAATACGCTATTTCGTATTTATTATTAATTGGCTGACCAAACTAAAATAAGAATGAAAGTAAGAGGTTGCTAATGACAAGAAAATGTGCGGAAAGTATTTTGGTTTTGTTTTTGTGTAGCAAAACTGCAATCAGAGGATGTAAGAAATGTCAACGTAAACACTAACAGCCTGTGTGAACAGCCTTCAGCCCACAATTCCAAAACTCGTTTTCAAAGTGTTTTCGTTGTCGGTCAGAACATGGTATAACAATACATCTTCTTCGGACTATTTAAAAAAAAAAGAGTTTTGTTATGTAAATTTATTTATTTTGTTTAAAATAAAATGAAAAACAGATTTTAATAATAAATGTTTCAAAACTAGATTTTATTTTATTTCTTCATCTCTGCACATCGATATTATTCAAAGGATCTTTTAAACGCTTGAGAAAAACTTTCAAATTTGATTATCGAACACATCAACTTACTATTGTTTGTATGTAAATTTTACTCCCAAATATTTAAAAGAAAATTTCCCCCATCAAAAAATTTCAATGTGGCAAAGCTATGCTTAATGTTTACATCTGGAGAAATGTCAAAAATCTGCTTTATAATCAAAAAATAGTAGAATGAAACTACTTTTTTATTGTATTATGTGTGTTTGTATGTTTCACAGCATGCTTTCGATAAACATCGACTTCACATCATTGAGGTAGTTCTGGCTATTTCACACAATTAACAAGAAACGTATACCTTATTCTTTTGCATAAACATGAAATGAAAGTAAAAATTACATAAACGGATGATCAAACTTGGCATTATTTAATAAAAATTCAATTTTTCCAAGATATCGTAAAGAAAAATCGATACATTTTCACACTCGTTTTGCAATATCGTAAAACTAAGTTCAAACTATTAAATTTAAAAAAAAATATTAAATTTTCCGTATACCCTGTAATCAAGGTACATTGAACAGGTAGTATCAGTAGAGCAGCTGATTTGATTTATTTTCAAATTATTTGGTCTCGAAAATGTCAAATATTTTTAATTTTTTCTCACAAAAATTCTGAATTGTTAAAATCCATTTGCATGTGAAACCTTTTTCCATTCAAAACAAGCGATTGAATAGCAGCTTTTGGAACGTTCGCCCAACTCAGCAGCACAACCGCTGATTACTGGGCCTTGCAAAGGATGGATCAATGCTTCGAGAAGCAAACAAATTTACTAGGAAAGAAAGTTGCATCAATTTTTATTTTTTCCAATTTCAATTTTTTATTTTTTATAATTTTTTGTATTTCACATGGCACGCTTTGATTTAGAAGAAAAAATTCAGAACAGTTTTTGACACTTTCGATACCAGAAGCAACAACAAAATACACGCAAATGTTGTTTTTGCTCTACTGATACTACCTGTTTAATGTGCCTTGCCTGTAATATTTTGTAAGATAAACTAACAATTTATACATCGTTGCAACACCAAAATATCATCTCTTAAATCCATAAATATATGTATGTACATATGAAAAAACTTGAAAGCTCGGGGCGAGCCGAAAATATTAAGCTAGAATTTCCTAGTACTATTTTTGAATATATTGGAAAAAATTTGGAAGCTACAGGGGAGGGGAGAGGATTCTGATACCCTGGCTAAGCCCATGGGTGTTGCCCTTTGCATTCACACACAGCAACTCTTTTGTACGCAATTGTTGTTGTCAGCTGTGAAATATCCAATTTGAATTATGCTTGGATTATAATGGAAGTAACGGAGTGGAGTGAACTGTCACTTAATTATCTATTGTATGGGCAATGAATTCAAACGATTATAATGCACTTGAACGCAATGTAAAATGGAAGCATCTAAAATCAATAGATCCTTACGAATCTGCCGCGTTTTGTTACGATTCGGCCCGTGCATTATAACTCAGACGAACGACAGCTCAATGCGTGTTTCCCGTCCTCTTTCCTCGTCGCTCTCCCCCCAACAAGCTTCGAGTTGCCGCAACAGAAGTTTCCTGTCTGAACATCGACTATAGATGAGTAGTGATAGTTTTTCTCAAGAAAGCTTAAACTATCGATAGTAATAGTTCATTATCGATAGTTTAAAACCTATACCGCAGCCGATTTTATTGGGCCTGAACACACTAGCCTGCGCTCGAATCGTAACATACGTTATTGTATTACTCGTCACGTAAAAACACATTTTTCAGATTATGGCATACGTGAACGTACTCTTTGTCCCATTCAGCTTATACTGCCTGACGTATCACGTAATTTTCTTTCGTATCCTTTTTGATCCGTGAACGGATGTTACGATTCGAGCTCAGCTCAGTCGGACTGAGCACACTGAACTGGGCAGTCGGCCGAAAACAGGTTTCAGTTTTGTATACATGAACTACGCATGATTGTGCAAGTGCATGTGGCACATGCAAACAAAACGAAATAGACAACTTGTTGTCTATGTGTGCGTGTCAGTCCACCGTGAATCCGCGATTTTCGCGGACTGAAATGAGCGAGGTAAACTCGAACTCTCTTCCCCCTCTTATCCACACAAAACCGGTTTCAGGCAAACTGAACAGTCCAGTGTGCGGAGGCCCTATCATCTATGGCGCAGAATCTATTTCGCAATTGATTTTTATCGGAAATGAAACCGATATCTGTTTCATTTCGTGTCGCGAAATTCTATCGGATTTAGATTTTTCGAAAACCAGCAAAACCGATATTCGAATCAGCTGTTTTCACATTAGGTCTGTGTCCTTTTGCGACAGTTTGTACAAAAGAATTAAAATTTGTACCAATTACTGATCTCGAGGTGAAATTACGCGTGTTTACTGGATAAAATATAAAATGTTTATATCTTTAAAGTTAAAGTGGGCATAACAGACAATTTCAATACAACTTTCAAACAAAATAACACATAATTTTTTGCTTGAGAAATACAGTGGTTTTTGCTTGTTTTTTAGGGAGGAACACAATTTTTGACCGATTCAAGTTGCAGGAATGGTATTTTCAGCGATTGATGTGAGGGCTCGAATCGTATCCGTACAGATAGAAAACGATACGAAGAAAAATTGCGTGATACGCCAGGCAGTATAAGCTGAATGGGACAAAGAGTATGTTATAATCCGAAATATGTGTTTTATAATCTCCACACACAATTTCAGTGAAAGTCCGGCAGGTTCAGCAATTCACTTCCGAGTAAATTTGAGTCAAGTCCACTTTGAATTCAAATTGGCAATGGTTGAAGTCACTGGGAAGTGAATTGCAGAACCGGCCTAATGTAATGTTTTCATCATGCAACCTCCCATCCATTTGACCTCGAGTAAAACGAATTATTTTCTTTTAAAATTTATTTAAAGAAATAAAAATAGTTGTCAAAGTATAAAATATTTATGTATGAACGTACAAATCAAAGCAAGCGCAGAGGCCATTTACCAACAGCGAGTCGATCGTGACCTGCAATAAATTGGAAAAACTTACCATACGTAAGCGATTCACTACATGTTGGCCATTTCGGTATCATCCACATCCGACATTCCAATTTATAGTTTTTTTCAGGCAGAAGCAACTGCGAATACGCACTCACAGCTCTGGGCAGCGATCTTGCAACAAAGATGTGTTAAATTACTTTGCTGGAAACATGTAAGTGATTAAGTATTTAAAAAGAAGATCGTCTTTTTAATAAACCTAAACAGGTCTTGACAAGGCTTGTCCTTTTCATCTAACTCACAATTGCAAAATAAGCATCCTCTCTACAAAATGGTAAGCTCGAACAAACTTAAATGTAACTGCCACAATGTTTCCTAAACCAATTTATTCGGTTTACTCATCTGCATCTCACATCTACTTTAAAGGTGTATTATTTAGTCATGGTGTAAAGTATGTATATGTGTATTTTTAAGTATATGGTAAGTTTACAATTATAAGATTGTATTCTTTAGTAAAAAAATTATTTCAGTGAGAACTTAATCGAAGTTTTTAGACATAGATTATCAAGTATCAGGTAATTTTTTAATGGATAAAATTAACTAATTTAATATTCAGAAACCAAATTCCAACATCCTACCAATCATTGATATTTTTTGATCGCTATTCTTCACATAATCTATTTTTTTAACTGGTTCATCCGAAAGTCAATATTCCTTCCACATTCTGACGTCAAACCTTACAGCATTGACAAATGTTTGACAATAAATACAATACAACTAAAACTTAGTCTAAGAACTTATCTGAATTATTATTTAAAAAAATCTAGAACAATATACCACTTGCTATAATGTGAAATGTGGAAAAATCTGGCTGCTCAATATGTGCTTGTTCCCAAGGATTTAGTTCAATAAATAAATCTTCTCAAAATCATTGCGGCGTTAGAGCGATACATTTTAGAAATTATGTATGCTCAAGCTGCTTTTGTTTTTCAAAATACTCCTTGCTAGATTTATCCAGGAAAGTGATATTTGATTTTAGAGTTGCATTATTCCTCTTACGAGGTTTTAACTTTCTACGATATATTCATACTGATTCGAATTATGTTTTTATCAAATTTGTGTGAAGGTTGTTTTTATCTTTTTTTTTATACATATTTAATACTCGTCTTTCTTGCAGTCCTCTTTTAAAATGTTCACCTTTAAAACTATGTACGATAGGTACTGATTTTCTGACGTGGTAAAATGCCTACACATGATTAAACTTCTTAGTATCTGTGGATAAGTATTTATATTGTAACTGCTGCTTATATTATCATCATCGTCACGTCCCTCTCTTCCTCTTGACCACCTGCGCTTCAAATAGTTCCTGGGTATCTCTTCACTTTCTGCTTTAAATTTTCTGACTTTTACTTTTTTGAACTGAAACTGTTAATTCTGCTGCTTTCGTGGCTGATTAAGTTTTATATCTGTAACTTTTGGATTGCTTGCTTGAATCTGAGTACGAATGTGACCTGGCTCAATTTTACGACCTATAAATGTTTGTAAATAAGAAATCATTTATTGACTTTCAAAAGTAATTTTGAATCTTTTAAGTTCTATAAAATATCATTATATTAGTGAAATAAAATATTTTTAATTATACCACTCATCCGCACTAGCCAATTAAGAAATTAAATTATAAATAGGGATAATCTACATCTTTATCAAAGAAAATAATTTAATACAAATCTATCACAATTGAAATGTAATGTGACCTTTATGAGATTTCGGATGTCAAAAAAATACTAAGTTGCCGAAAATACAATGAACCTCTACAAATCATAAGAACTTAAAACCTATACATTAGGTCGGAACAAAAGTGTGTTAGTAAAATTGTTATGCAAAAAAAATATATATCTAACAAATGTACCGTTCATTTTTTTTTTTCTTTTATAAACTCACCTCAATATCTCCTGTTGCCGCCACCACCACCAACGGCATTTGGGCCACCAAAGTTACCCTGATTACCAAAGTTACCTTGATTACCTAAAATAGAATAGGAAGACAACAGGCATTTAGTGCTGTCTTAATCAACTTTGAGCTGCTTTCGATTCGCCACTTATGTTTTTCTTAAGGTTGTTGTTGTAACAGCATAAAAATTCCCTAGAGTTTTTGGGGAGTGTTGCTGGTCCCTGCCCAGATATAAGACTAGATAGTTCCGGTTACGTAGACCCGACTGTCAATCAATATTCTATACCCAAGTCGCTAATAAGTTGGCGAATCGAAAGTAGCATTTTGTTTTGACAACAATTGATTTCATGTCTATTCATTTTGTGGCAAATACATTTTTATCAACTTATGATACCCAAGGGACATAAGTAAACCAAGATATTATATTTGCAATGTTTTTTCTTACAGCCTCGTAACGCCGTATGAAACTATTAAATTGGTTTATACGGAGCTGGGACTGTGAATAAATCTTTTTTGGAAAATTATGTGTACCTACCCATTTTGTTACCGAAGTTTCCTCCTTGATTGTAGGGTTGCATGCGATTATTGCCGCCAAAATTGCCGCGTTGGGGACCACCACCGTAGCTTTGCTGATAGCCACCTCCGAAATCATTTCCCCAGTTGCCACTGTTAGCCGGTCCATTATTACCAGGGCCGCCGAAATTTCCAGGACCACTATTCCAGTTATCTCCGTTGTTGCCGTTATCCCATGGACCTACATTATTGTTGCCGTTCCAACCACCTCCACCACCACCACCGTTATTAAATCCTCCGCCAAAACCATTGTTTCCACCCCAGTTATCATTGCCCCTGTTGTTGCCACCCCAGTTGTTTTGATTTCCCATCATTCCACCACCCATATTACCCCCGCGACCCATGTTGCCTCCACGACCACCACCGCCGCCGCCGCCACCACCTTGTTGACGGTTCATGTCCTGTTTAGGCAAGGCCTTCTTTACGTCAAGTGCTTTTCCTTTAATAGTATGAGTTTTTTGCACTGAAAATGGTACGTAGAAGTTCATCAATTAAATTGTAAACAATTGTTTTCAGGTATTTAGATAAATAAATTTTAAATTTGTAACGAGGCTGCGTGTTACACAAAATTTGGATAATTACATTCGCATAACATAGCGTAAGCCGACGCTATAATTTATCTCACAGTTTTATTTTATCAACTAACCGACATTGAAAGTACAGCCAGTTGTCAGAGAACTGTGTTAAATGCTAAGTAATAAAACATTTAACACCCCTATTGCGAGTGGCGACTAGTAGTAGATAAACGACTACAAGTGAAAAAAATAACAAACGATTCGTTTGGTTTGTGCTCGTATCGTGTATTGTTAGTGCTCGACAACATTATAATAAAAGGAACAAAAACTTTTCGTACTTGTTGTGGCAATGGGTAGTGGATACGTTCCGTTTGTTTTCGTACTCGGTTCGTAGCCGCTCATCCTTCTACAAACGAATATCGAATAAGAGTCGTTTATCTACTACTAGTCGACACTCGCAATAGGGGTGTAAATCTAATTTTTTGAAATATACAGTTATAGAATCGTATAGAGCCGTAATTTAATAATTTCAGCAGATTTACAAACCTAACATTTCAAGATACCACATTTTTATGTTTATTTGACTAATAACCAGTTTCCCAAAACCATTTAAGTGAAAAATTATTTTTTGTATCAAATTTAATAATTTCGTAAAATATACGAAAATCCCAACACTGATTAGCTGTGAACGTAGCACATACACTAGGCGACAAATGGAAGTGTACACCTTGTTGTAATAGATATGATATTCACAATTATTTGTATGACAATTTTTTGCCTTATTCATTTACGAAAATATAGTCCATACTATAATATCTGTGTTCATATGGAAAAGTAGCTTATGTCGAAAGGTTGGCTTTAGTATAATGCGGCATTCCCTTTATTCTTTAAACGACAAGGAATTTTTTGATGAGACTTAATAAGAATATTGACTTGCTAGTATCGGAACTACTACTTGCACGTTTATTTGCCAAAAGTTCTTCAACGGCTCAGCGCCAGTGAGTCATTCGCAATCGTATGCTGCGAATGCCGATTTATACTAAAGCCAGCCTTTCGACATAAGCTACGAACACAGATATAAACAATGTAAATAAAAGTTTCACACTTTATATAAAGTTCACAAAAATTCCAACAAAAAAAAAAATCATCAGAATTTTTAACTTTTTCTCCGAGTTTTACAGAGTTTCTAGAATATTTCTTAGGCGAATTTTTCCATATACAAATTAGAAAAATTTATTTCCTACGTGAAAAATATTTTCTTTATTTTATAAAAATATATTTATATGTTTTTTTAACCGACTTCCAAAAAAAGGAGGAGGTTATCATCGGAATATTTTTTGTTTACTTTTTTTTTATGTATGTTACCACATAACCGTCAACCGATTTCGATAATTCTTTTTGCATCGGAAAGGTAGTGTCTCAGAGGTGGTCCCATACTAATCTGGTTAAGATCCGATCAGTGGATCATGAGATATATATATATATATATATTTTTTTTTTTATATGAGAGTTGAAGTCGGTTTTTGTTTTGCTAAAAATTACTTGTTATTTTTTATTTTATGAGAATCCAATTTCAAAGAGGAACAAAAATTGAATTTCTACAAAATTTTCTACTGTTTAAATACCTTTTTGAAAAGAAATATGTGGTTTTTATTACCTTGTACTCTTGCTGAGTGTACCCACAGTAAGTGACTTGCTATTGCTTAATAATTTTTTCGACTTCTTTGTTGGCACATCTAACATGCCCAAAACATCAGCGAAATTCACCCCCGGTGAAGAGTCAAGGATTTTTATCCTTTTTTAAGGATATTTTTAAATTACTTATCCTTTTAAAAGGATTTTTTAAATTCGTTATCCTTTTATAAGGATTTACTTTTTTTAATTTTTAAGATCTTATTTTATTATTCTTTTTTATATCCCTTTTCGTTGGGCTCCAATTAGAAATTTTCCTACATGGAAAATATTTTTTTTATTTTATAAAAATATATTTATATTACAGTTAGTTTTATTTAATTTTTTTATTTCATGAGATTCCAATTTCAAAGTTGAACAAAAACTGAATTTCTAAAAAAAAATTTTTACTGTTTACATACCTCTTTTAAAATGAATATTTCAGGTGACAGCCTACCTTTTTTTTTTTTACTGCATATAAGTTAATAAATAGCACGTTGTATTTTGTTTCAAAAACTATCAAGTTAATAAATAATAATAATAATATAATAATAGATTGGCACTTACACATATGTTAGTGTTTGGCCGAGCTTTTCCTCCGACTTGTGGCGTGCGCCTTGATGTTGTCACACAAAGCGGAGGGACCTACAGTTTTACGCCGACTCCGAACGGCGATTGTATTTTTATGAGAAGCTGTTTTTCATGGCAGAAATACAGTCGGAGGTTTGCCATTGCCTGCCGAGGGACGACCGCTGTTAAGAAAAAACATTTTTCTATATTTTTTGGAATGTTGCTTTGACCAGGGCTTGAACCCAGGTGCTGATGTGTGAAAGCGCGCACTGCTTACCACTACACCACAGCGACCGACAATAAATAAAACGTTGTTTTTCTGTTTCAAAAACTATTCATAAACAATTTAAACACTTTTTTGAAAATAACTATGTGAAATATATGGCTGACTTCCAAAACGTATCTATACAATGTTTGGAAACTGTTATACAGCGGTATTTAAACTGTTTGTATATGCAGAGTTGCGCCACATTGCAACCTTATACATTGCATATTTTAAATATTCAATTTATCAGTGAACAATTTTTCTGAATTTTCCACTTTTAAAACAGCAATGGTAACCAAAAAAAAAGAAGCATCAACTTTGTTTCTGGTGCACTGATTGATCTAGCGATGCGTTTCGATAACTTTTTGAATGCGTTTCGGAAAAGTAATCATTGTCTTCATTTTGTAGTTCGGCGTTATGGGACATTATACTTTTTACGTATGCAAAGCAATTGACGTTTTGGAAGTTTGGGTAGGCTGTTACCTGAAATATTCAGCTTTCAAAAAGGTATTTAAGCAGTAGAAAATTTTGGTAAAATATTCCGTTTTTGTTCAATTTTGAAATTGGAATCCCATAAAATAAAAAAATATAAACCTAACATGTAATCGTATATATATATATAAATCTTGTGTCACGGTGTTGGTGGTCGAGCTCCTCCTAAACGACTCTACGGAACTTTGAAATTTTTTATGTAGATATCGAGCCCTAACCGCCAAAATAACGTAAGCGACATTTTTTTCGAAATTTTATTTTTGATGCAGAAATGCATCTAGATGCTCTAGGAATATTTCCGCATCAAAAATAAAATTTTGAAAAAAATGTCGCTTACGTTATTTTGGCGGTTAGGGCTCGATATATTTGGTAGGTATGAGAATCGGATGTAAACCACCTCCCGTGGCACAAACCGAATTTTTCATACCTCTGGATGTGTTCATGGTAGACTACTCGAACATGGAGAAAAATTTTGGTTATTGGAAAAGGGGGCGTGGCACCTCCCATACAAAGAACTTTTCATATTTCATATCTCCGGAAGTGTTCATGGTAGAGTACTGGAACTTGATATGTACAAGATGCATTAAATCAATCGCAGTCATGAAGGTATGAAGATACATATATATATGAAATCAATCCCATACTCTTAAAGAAAATTTGTGCTATTTGAAAAAGGGCGTGGCTTCTTTCGAACGCACTGAAACTATTGCACATCTTTGTATGCACAAACACTTTTGCTAGGTTATACAAGGCGGCAATAAAAATATACCTTCTGACAATTACCAAACCGTAATATTAGAAGATAAATGCCTCACTGAAAATCATTAACGTGAACTGTTGGTGAAAATGTTGAACCAAAATGTTTCAATACAAAAAATTAATTTTTGCCGGGACGAAGTTCGCCGGGTCTGGTAGTATTAATACATAAAGTATCCGTCATATCTATAGCACGCCATTTCGAAGTGATATTGTGTGCAACTTATGTTTATTTGTTTATTTTTGAGAATTTTCAATTAAAATACAGTTCTTTCTCAAACAAACCCCAAATAAACCCAAGTTTAACAATTTGTAGAAAACTTCAAAAAAGTGCAACAAATTTTCACCTAAGTTTCAAACTTTTTTCTCGGAAGTGTTAGAATTTTTTTGAGTACACAGTTTTTAGCCCCTGTAATTTTAGTCTGATAATGTGCAAGTTTCAAATGACTGAAAGTTACCGTTGATTTTTTAGAATTTTTTTCGCCAAAGGTGTTGCGGTTTTCTTCCATATACAAATAAATTGAGTTTATTCATTATATGGAAGCCAAAGCGACAAAAAAAATTCTAAAAACTTAACGGTAATTCGTAGCCACTTGAAATTTGCACATTATAAGACTAAAATTGAAATGGCTAGAAAACTGTGTACTCAAAAAAATTCTAACACTTCCGAGAAAAAAGTTTGAAACTTAGGTGAAAATTTGTTGCCATTTTTTGAAGTTTTCTACAAATTGTTAAACTTGTGTTTGTATGGGGTTTGTTAGAGAAAGAACTGTATTTTAATTGAAAATTCTTAAAAATAAATAAATAAACATAAGTTGCACACAATATCACTTTGAAATGGCGTGCTATAGATATGACCGATACTGTATATTTTTATAAAATAAAGAAATTTTTTCCATGTAGGAAATATATTTTTCTAATTTGTATTTCAAATAGTATAGAAAGAATATAAGAATAAAAGTTGAAAATTTTGATTTTTTTTTTTTTTAATTTTTGTGAACTCTACATAAAATGTGAAACTTTGATTCATAAAGTTTATATTATTGAATGAACTATATTTTCTTAAAAAACTAATGCAACAAATTCATGAAAATAATCCTGTGTATTATATAAGAACAAGTGATAACCCCGATTAAATACGTCTGTCAGTTTTCATATTAAATTCAAATAAAAACAAGTATATTTTAAACAAAAAAATCTACTTCAATTTTGGAGTACCGTTAATTCTTCGGAACCAAACATAATTAGTAAAAATTTCACTTGCAGTAATTTCTACGTGGTAAGTGCTCCTCCATTGTTTGGTTTCATAGGGATTCGGATATCTTCCTCGTTGAAGTAGTAAAGAAAATTCGTTTAAGTGTTTTTTCGGTTAAGCGCACAAGTTTTTCGTGCAAAGAACAATGGGAGCTAAGCAAAATATACTGCAAGCGTGAAAGAAATAAAATCTACTTCCATAAACTCTCTTAATTTTCCAAATAAATTCCTTATGATTCACAATTATTATGGTAGTTGAATGATAAGTTGTAAATTTGTATTTTGGGACACCAGGGTTCATGTTTCGATCATGCAAGCATATTAGTAAGCAATACAAAATACTGGTCTATAGATCCATTATCGAGCCGCATTTCATTTACTGCCCTACAATTCTATTCGCATTAGCTGATTCGCAAATATCCAGGCTACAAATTAAGCAAAACAAAATTATGCGTTTCATATTAAGAAAACGGTATGATACCCCAATTAAAGATTTACTTGACAGCTTAAACTGGCTTATTAGTGTAAAACAGAACATGACTTACTACACATTGAAGTTTATACACAACAACACCTAAGTGAACGTGTCAGACTAAATAGAGAGGTCCATAGCTATCAA